TCTAAGCGGCAGGTGGCTCAGCTGGTCAAAACTCAGGCGTGGAGAAAGACTTCCGTATGGCTCCGAAGCGATTCTGGTCCACAATCCGGCATCTCAGGAGGGGGAAGCAGTGCAGAACCAACACTATTTATAGTTGGGGTGGTCTGCTGCTGACCTCGACTCGGGACTTTGTATGTCAGTGGGCAGAGTTCTTCAAAGACCCCCTTAATCCCACTAACACGTCTTCCATTGAGGAAGCAGAGCCTGGGGGCTCCGGGTCGGGTTCTGCCATCTCTGGTGCTGAGGTCACTGAGGTAGTTAAAAAGGTCCTCTGTGGCAAGGCATCCGGGGTGGATGAGATTTGCCTTGAGTACCTTAAGGCTCTGGATGTTGTGGGGCTGTTTTGGTTAACACACTGCATATTTTACATAAACATAATGTAGAATTAATAATAAGTATAAAAATATTGTACTTTATGTATAATGTATTGCTTATATCTGTAAATGGGATTAAAAACTACATCTCGATTTGTGATTTCTGTATAAATCTTGCATGTACAACACAAGTGCATTTTGTGCTGCAACTAACGATTATTTAGCAAATCGATTAATCTGTTGATTATTTTATTGATTAATCAATTAATAATTGGAGAGCAAAAGGTTCCTTAAAGAAGATTGTTCACCTTATCAAACCAGGTGAAACCAAAACTTTCCACTATAGTAGTTCTGGATAGAGCATATTGAAAGGAGAAAAAGTTTTTACAATCCTAAATGCAAATTTTTTATATCTTTTACAATTTTGATTTAAGTACTGCTCTAAGTGGGTTGCTCTGTTAGCTAAAGGCATGTTTTAGAGTCTCTATACTTCAGTTAAGGATTAATCAATTACTAAATTAGTTGACGATTATTTCAATAATCAATTATTCACATTGATTGTTTCAGCTCTAACTGCATTATCTACATCTTTCTATGAAGTTGGCTGTTTTCGGGGAGAGCGACTTAATAACCCTGTCAGATACCATTCCCCCCTTCTTAACATTGGGGGAGCTGCATCTGATGGGCCTAAAAATCATACCAGATAGCATTCCCCATGCTTAACATGTGGGGAAAGGTATCTGATGGGCCTATAAACACTGTCAGATACCTTCCCCAGTGCTTAACATTACCTCTACTCATGGGTGTAAAGTTTTTGGCTTCCCTAATCATTTTATTGATTTGAATACCCTAAACTACTTTTCACTGACTTACTGAAACACAAAATTGGTTTGGTAACTTCACTTAGATTTGAACTTTATAGTCAGGTGCATCCAATCATGAGAAAATGTATCTAAGGTGGCCAGTTGAAAGTTGTTCTCCTTTTTGAATCCCCTCTGAAGATTCATCATGGGAACCTCAAAAAACTCTCAAATGAAAACAAAGATTGTTCAACATAGTCGTTCAGGGGAAGGATACAAAAAGTCGTCTCAGAGAACTCAAAGTGTCAGTTTCCACTCTGAGGAATGTAGTAAGGATTTTTTATGGCTTTGTTTGTGTCATGATTGTTTTAAGAGATCCGACCCACATAAAAAAAAACCCTCAGAGACCAGGGGAAAAAGTTTAACAGGTTTATTGAAAAGGATGGTTTCACAAAGTAGGAACTGGAACTCAGTGAACAGATGAACCAGAACTGGAAAGTCTGGAGGGAAGATCACAGTGATCAGTTCAGGGACCGTGGGAAAATTGGCTGAAGCTTGAATACTGTTGGAGCGGGACTCACGTTTGAGGGGGTTCTTGTTTATCCTTGAATCCCATCAGTGTGGGTTTATCCAGAGAAGAGGTAACCCGTTGGAGAGCGGACAGGGCTGTCACTTGGATTTCCATAAGGGACTTGAACGGCTCATATGGATGTTTTCCCCTGCTCAGTGTGAGCTAAGTTAATCCTTCCAGGGGGAGAAGGCCAGGCATCCAGTTACACATGAAGGCTTCCTGCCGAAGAGCAAAGACAAAAACAATATAAGACTCAGAGAAACAAAGGCTCAGGTAAGTCATTGGAGAGCGGACTGGTTGACATTCGACATTCGTTGGACCCAGAGGAGCTATGGAGCGGCCTGTCACTTGGATTACCTTGGGTTGTCGGGCTGTCACTTGGATTACCTTGGGTTGTCGGGCTGTCACTTGGATTGCCTTTGGTTGTCGGGCTGTCACTTGGATTGCCGCCGGTCCGTGGTGTGACTGGTGGCCAGGAATCCAGGTGCGACTGCACATAAGGAGAGAGGGAAAAGGTGAGATCACGGTTGATTGGGAAAATGCAGAAGACTGAATGCTCTGTTCATACTTAAACTGGCTGCCAGAATTGCCAGAATTGGTGGGATGTGGTTCCAGTTGTGGGGACCTTGGCTGGTTGAATGTGGACGTGACATTGGAGGGCGGACAGGTAAGGTAATGGTAGCACAGAGGGGCAGCGGAGCAGACTGTCAACAGGAGACTTTGATGAAGTCTGAGGTCAGAGGAGAGGAGTTGTGAAACTCTTGGCGTCTCGAGAGGTTTCTTCCAGGGCTGGAAGGACTCGAAAAATCCCTGAGGATCTGAAGGTTTCCTGCAGAAGATCCACAAAAAACAAAGGGTAAGAGCATGAATAAACATGAAAAGATCAGAGAATAACTCAGCAAAGCTCAGATGGGCTAGTGTACCAAAAACAGGCAAACACTCTGGCGAACAGTTGATGACAGTCAGCTGCTCATATACTCCTTTGAGGTGATGGTGATTCGTTGCAGGTGTGGGTAGTCGAAACGTGAAGGCAAGTAAACAGATGGCACCATCAGGTGGACGAATGGTACAACTGAAAAGGGGAAAAAATAACCCCACAAACTGGAACCCAACAGGCTTAGAGTAGAACATTTCAATAAGTATTTCTTTTTTTTTTATATATATATAAAAATAAAAAAGGAGCAAAAACGATAAATATAAAGATTTTGTTTTTCATTTTCAGAAACAGTAAAAAAGTAAAAATAGTTTTTTGTGGGAAAGTCAGCCCCACAAGACTAATATAAAAGAAATTTTCTTCATTTTGTTTTAAGGAACTTTAAAGGAAAGTAATTTTAGCATTTTTTTTGTTATTTTTGTTGTTTTTTTTGTTGTAAAAGATAGAAGAAGGAAAATGGAGCATCAGGAGGCATTTCATTTCTTAGAAGACTTGAATAATCTTCGCCAAAACCCTTTCTTCTTTTTCTTTGCTTCTTTTACGGGCTTTTCTTCCAGTTCTTCAGTAGATGCCAGCTGTTTCTCTACATCTTTCTTTTCTACATTTGCCTCCTGAACCTCTCGTTTTGTGGTCAAGTCAGGTTTTCTAATTTCTTCTTTAAGTTGCTGTTTTCTTTCATCGTTCTTTTTCTTCTCATTGCAAAGTTCCTCCTGGAGTTTTTTCATCTCACCGTCTATCTTTACTCTGTGTTTGGCAAAGTCCTCCTTTTCTTTTTCCATATCACTCTTCTCAGCCTGGAGGTTTTTCTTTTCTTGCTCAAAATCTTTCTGTTCCTTTTCTAATCTCTCAACCTGAACCTTCAGTCTCATTTTCTCCATTTCAAGTGTTTTACTTTCCTCCTCAACATTCCTCTTTCTCTGTTCTAGCAGGTTCATTTGTTGATCTAAATGTTGTTTTCCTGCCTCCAAAGCTCTCCTCTCTTCTTCCAGAACTTTTTTGAGATCTTCAATCTCCTGTTCTGCATTTTTCTTGGCATATTCTGCAATTCTTTTCTCCCTCCCAATATCTTTCACCATCACTTCCAGACGCTTAATTTCTGCCTGATGATTCCCCATCTCTTTAAGGTCCTTCTTAAGTTTTTTCTTTTCTTCTTTCAGTTTTTCAATGGCTTGTTTTACCTTGTTCTTAATTTCTTCTGTTTCATCCTTTTCTTGGCGCAGTTTCATCTGTTCCTCATTCAGGTCTTTAGTCTCCTGTTCAAAAAGTTGCTTTGCAGCCTCTAGTTGCTGCTTCTCTGCTGCCAGTTGTGCTTTTTCTTGAAGCAGCTCTCCTTTCTCTGCTTCTAATTGAACTTTTGCCTGATCAATCCCCGTTTTTTCCATCTTGAGCTCCTCTCTAAGAGCTTCCAATGTGCGTTTCTCCTCTATCAAAGCTTTATTTTCCAGGATTTGTCCCTTTATCTCCTGAAACTCTTTCTTATCCATTAATTGAATTTTAGGTGTTTCAGCCTCTTTGTTCTTTGTGGTGGCTGATTCCTTAGTTTGAATCTCACGTCTGGCTTTTCTCATGAGCATGTCCCTCTCTGATAAGAGCTCAGAAACTCTTAATCTCAAACCTTCTGCGTATCCATGCAGAAACTGGTTTTCCCTGCAAACCGTCTGAAAATTACTTCTGCCAGTCTGAAGCTGCTGGTTGAGGTTTTCTATTTCAGCTTGCATCTCAGCCATACGAAGGCTCATAGCTTCTGCGTTTTTCTTAAGCTCAGCGTTCTCAGCCCGGGATTTATCGTGGAGCGTTTTTACAAAGATATATTCACCAATGAACTTCCTTTCAGTTATGCTAGATGGTGGAGTTATGGTGGTTTCTTTGTTCCCTGAGCTCATGCTACAGTCAGCCATTGTGCTTGGAAGGATTTAAGAAATACAACAAAATTCAACTTTACTGGAAAGTAAGAGATTGAAATCTGCTGCCAACAGTTTTCTATGGGTAAAGACGTAGGTATCTGAACGCTGAGTGGACTCAATCTGACACAGTGCCAGCAATGTGGCTTTATAGAGTTCCACAGCTGGGTCTGTGACCTCACATTCTAAAAGAGAATGTTACTATGTCATAACACCGCCCACATGCAGGTGGGCGGTCTGTGTTTCCATGGAAACAATATTTCCTATAAAATTACACTTTAATTTTACTGGACTAATCCTGTCCTAAATTTTCTTTGCAACATTAATTTCCCCTGATATTTATTATATCTAGCTTTTGAATAGCAACCACAGATAATATTGTTGACCTAAAAACAAATAAAAAAGAAACATCTATTGTGAGTAACTAATTCAAAGCATAAATGAAAATGTCTTTTTAAATAGATATTAGTTTATTATATAACTGCTATTAAAATTTGTAACTGGATCCTATCTGCCTGCCTACTTGAAATCAGAGTTTTCTTTGGTTACAGATAGAATAAAGTCATATTTTGAAAACAGAGTCATAATATTACCCAAACAATAATATGAAAGTAAAGTTATGATCTGACATGATGTGATCAGCTCCACATCACCTCACACAGTGTTCGAACTGTGGACAAATGTTTAGCAGCCACTTCATTATTTGTTATTTGTGAGCTTTGTTAAATGTTTATTATCAGCTGTAAGATTAATATAAAAATTTTTTTCTTCATTTTGTTTTAAGGAACTTTAAAGGAAAGTAATTTTAGCATTTTTTTTTGTTATTTTTGTTGTTTTTTTTGTTGTAAAAGATAGAAGAAGGAAAATGGAGCATCAGGAGGCATTTCATTTCTTAGGAGACTTGAATATTCTTCGCCAAAACCCTTTCTTCTTTTTCTTTGCTTCTTTTACGGGCTTTTCTTCCAGTTCTTCAGTAGATGCCAGCTGTTTCTCTACATCTTTCTTTTCTACATTTGCCTCCTGAACCTTTTGATTTGTGGTCGTCAAGTCAGGTTTTCTAATTTCTTCTTCAAGTTGCTGTTTTCTTTCATCGTTCTTTTTCTTCTCATTGCAAAGTTCCTCCTGGAGTTTTTTCATCTCACCGTCTATCTTTACTCTATGTTTGGCAAAGTCCTCCTTTTCTTTTTCCATATCACTCTTCTCAGCCTGGAGGTTTTTCTTTTCTTGCTCAAAATCTTTCTGTTCCTTTTCTGATCTCTCAACCTGAACCTTCAGTGTCATTTTCTCCATTTCAAGTGTTTTACTTTCCTCCTCAACATTCCTCTTTCTCTGTTCTAGCAGGTTCATTTGTTGATCTAAATGTTGTTTTCCTGCCTCCAAAGCTCTTCTCTCTTCTTCCAGAACTTTTTTGAGATCTTCAATCTCCTGTTCTGCATTTTTCTTGGCATATTCTGCAATTCTTTTCTCCCTCCCAATATCTTTCACCATCACTTCCAGACGCTTAATTTCTGCCTGATGATTCCCCATCTCTTTAAGGTCCTTCTTAAGTTTTTTCTTTTCTTCTTTCAGTTTTTCAATGGCTTGTTTTACCTTGTTCTTAATTTCTTCTGTTTCATCCTTTTCTTGGCGCAGTTTCATCTGTTCCTCATTCAGGTCTTTAGTCTCCTGTTCAAAAAGTTGCTTTGCAGCCTCTAGTTGCTGCTTCTCTGCTGCCAGTTGTGCTTTTTCTTGAAGCAGCTCTCCTTTCTCTGCTTCTAATTGAACTTTTGCCTGATCAATCCCTGTTTTCTCCATCTTGAGCTCCACTCTCAGAGCTTCCAATGTGCGTTTCTCCTCTATCAAAGCTTTATTTTCCAAGATTTGTCTCTTTTCCTCCTGAAACTCTTTCTTATCCATTAATTGAATTTTAGGTGTTTCAGCCTCTTTGTTCTTTGTGGTGGCTGATTCCTTAGTTTGAATCTCACGTCTGGCTTTTCTCATGAGCATGTCCCTCTCTGATAAGAGCTCTGAAACTCTTAATCTCAAACCTTCTGCGTATCCATGCAGAAACTGGTTTTCCCTGCAAACCGTCTGAAAATTACTTCTGCCAGTCTGAAGCTGCTGGTTGAGGTTTTCTATTTCAGCTTGCATCTCAGCCATACGAAGGCTCATAGCTTCTGCGTTTTTCTTAAGCTCAGCGTTCTCAGCTCGGGATTTATCGTGGAGCGTTTTTACAAAGATATATTCACCAATGAACTTCCTTTCAGTTATGCTAGATGGTGGAGTTATGGTGGTTTCTTTGTTCTCTGAGCTCATGCTACAGTCAGCCATTGTGCTTGGAAGGATTTAAGAAATACAACAAAATTCAACTTTACTGGAAAGTAAGAGATTGAAATCTGCTGCCAACAGTTTTCTATGGTTAAAGACGTAGGTATCTGAACGCTGAGTGGACTCAATCTGACACAGTGCCAGCAATGTGGCTTTATAGAGTTCCACAGCTGGGTCTGTGACCTCACATTCTAAAAAAGAATGTTACTATGTCATAACACCGCCCACATGCAGGTGGGCGGTCTGTGTTTCCATGGAAACAATATTTCCTATAAAATTACACTTTAATTTCACTGGACTAATCCTGTCCTAAATTTTCTTTGCAACATTAATTTCCCCTGATATTTATTGTATCTAGCTTTTGAATTTCAACCACAGATCATATTGTTGACTTAAAACCAAAAAACAAATAAAAAAGAAACATCTATTGTGAGTAAATAATTCAACGCATAAATGAAAATGTCTTTTTAAATAGATATTAGTTTATCATATAACATATGCTATTAAAATTTGTAACTGGATCCTACCTGCCTGCCTACCTACCTACTTGAAATAAGAGTTTTCTTTGGTTACAGATAGAATAAAGTAATATTTTTAAAACAGTCATAATATTACCAAAACAATAATATGAAGGTAAAGTTATGATCTGACATGATGTGATCAGCTCCACATGACTGAAGCCTCATCCTGAAATCAGCATGAGTGAAAAGGCTATTTCTTTCATCTCTTAGGCTTAAGACATCAGTGTTGTACAAAGAACACTTTATTATCCTAATATTATGTCTTTATTCTCATAATTAATTTAAGGTGTTAGTATGGCCCTAATACTCTACTCTGTACAAAAATAACAAAATACCATCGAAGGGGTAATGTAACAAAGTGCTTTTATTGAACCTTTATAAAAACATTTGTGCAGCCGTCTCATGGATATGAGATACATGGGTATATAAGTTGCACTTGAAAATATTTTTACAAAAAGAAAGAGCTGAATGTAAAACCTCAAAAGACAAGAAAAAAACAAAGTTTAAAGATGCTTTAAGGATATATTTTGAACTCTAGTAGAACAGGCTAATCAGAAGAATGAGCTGCTACTACTGCTGCACAGCAGCTTCTCTGCTGCATCTTTAACTGCAAATCTTTGTTTTGCTGGTTCTTGATGTTAGCCACCACCTCCTTGTGTTGCTGCACTGTCATCCAGCTTGGCCGGTACTTTTTAACGTAATATCGTAGGTTTACAAACCACCTGATCAAACTTGCTCTGCGCATGCCCACCAGCTTTGCCAGCGAGCTGTACTGCTCAGCGGTTTGATACTGGGACTGCAGGAAGGCGTTCCTTCGCAGCAGCAGCTGACCATCTGTCTTCAAATTGCTCTGAGACTTTGCTGCCTGGGTCTCCTCCTGTCTGGTCCCAGAGGTTGGAGCAGGATTCATGTTTTCTTCCTGTTGGTCTGACTGGCTCCCTGTTCCACTGGAGACTAGTTTGGTCTGTGCTCTTCTCTTCTTGGTGAGAACTGGTTCCATATTGGCTCCATTATTGATCCTCTCATCATCTTGTTTTTTACTTCTTTTCCTTCCCCTTTTCTGCTTTCTTGGTCCGTTCCGGTTCACCTCTCCTCCACACTCTCTTCCTTCGCTCTTCTGATCCTTGTTCTTCACTTCTTTGTCAATAAACCTGTCTGTGAGCTCCTGAGCTTCTTCAGCATCATCATTGTTGGATATTAAATTGTTACAGACCTCTCTGATGTCCTCATAATCCCAGCTGATCCCACAGAGGAGCCTCTGGGCCATAAACCAAACCCTCACCTGGTCTGGATGGAGGGAGCAGCGCTGAGCTAGAGCAGCAGTCTGTTTGGGTGTTAGATAGGGGGACCTGCTGAAGGCCTTGTTCAGCTCCTCCACCTCATCTGGCTGCATGTCCACCTCGTTTGCATGAACCCATATCACCCTTTTATCCTCACAGAGCACAGGGAGACATAAGCGGGCGCTCCATGGAAGCGATGGAGCCTGGTTGCCTTCAACAGCAGTGGGTGTCTCCTGTGTGGGTGTCCTCTTTGTTGTGTCAGCAAGGTGCCTCATCATAGTAAATGGCTACGAAACAAAGCAGATGAACAGAGAGGTTATAAAGAGCTGAATTTGATTCATCGGAAAGACTGTTAGTCAGAGCAACCTTTGACCAGTTGATTCTATTAACCGTAAACAATGTTATCCATGTTTTAAAGAAGGTTAACTTTTTAAGGAAAGTTATACAAAGTGTCTGTAGACAATTACACTTTAGGACATTTTTTCCCCGTTTACCTTTGTGTCCTTTAACCTTTTAATCTTTACTACAACTATTGTAAAGTATGATAACTTCCACTTTCAAATATATTATTTTTTATTTGGAGCCATCCAGGATTCTAAAAGGAGACCTTTTTAGATGCTAAGAAACTGAAGCTAAGAAACTGTGTGAAGATGGATGGATGGAAGGATGATTAGGGATCGAAGGAAGGATGGATGAATGAATAGAAGGCTGGATGGAAGAATGGAAGGATGGATGTATGAACGATGGATGGATTTAGTAGGGATGGATGGATGAAGTATGGAAGGAAGGATGGACAGATGGAAGGATGCATGAATAGAAGGATGGATGGATGAATGGAAGGATGGATGAACGGAGGATGGGAAGGATGGGTAATTGAAGGAGGGATGGATTGATGAAAGATGAGAAGGATGGGTGGATGAAGGAGGGATGGATGGATAAAGGATGGATGCATGAATAGAAGGATGGATGGATGAAGGGAAAATGGATAGAAAGGGTTGACGAATAAAGGTGGGTGGATGGAGGAAGGATGGATGGAAGGGAGGATGGATGGATGAATGACGAATATATGAATGGAAGAATGGATAAATAGAAGGATGGATGGATGAATAGAAGGGTGGATGCATGAATGGAATTATGGATGAAAGGAGGGATGGATGAAGGATAGATGGATGGATGGAATGATAGGGTGGATGGATGGATGGATGGAATGATAGGGTGGATGGATGGATGGAATGATAGGGTGGATGGATGGATGGATGGAATGATAGGGTGGATGGATGGATGGAATGATAGGGTGGATGGATGGATGGAATGATAGGGTGGATGGATGGATGGATGGAATGATAGGGTGGATGGATGGATGGATGGAATGATAGGGTGGATGGATGGATGGATGGATGGAATGATAGGTTGGATGGATGGATGGAATGATAGGGTGGATGGATGGATGGATGGATGGAATGATAGGGTGGATGGATGGATGGATGGATGGAATGATAGGGTGGATGGATGGATGGATGGAATGATAGGGTGGATGGATGGATGGATGGAATGATAGGGTGGATGGATGGATGGATGGATGGAATGATAGGTTGGATGGATGGATGGAATGATAGGGTGGATGGATGGATGGATGGATGGAATGATAGGGTGGATGGATGGATGGAATGATAGGGTGGATGGATGGATGGATGGAATGATAGGGTGGATGGATGGATGGATGGAATGATAGGGTGGATGGATGGATGGATGGATGGAATGATAGGTTGGATGGATGGATGGAATGATAGGGTGGATGGATGGATGGATGGATGGAATGATAGGGTGGATGGATGGATGGATGGATGGAATGATAGGGTGGATGGATGGATGGAATGATAGGGTGGATGGATGGATGGATGGAATGATAGGGTGGATGGATGGATGGATGGAATGATAGGGTGGATGGATGGATGGAATGATAGGGTGGATGGATGGATCGATAGATGGATGGATGGAATGATAGGATGGATGGATGGAGGAAGGATGGATGAATAGATGAATGCATTGATGGAAGGAGGAAGGATGGATGAATAGAAGGATGGATGGATATATGGAAGGATGAATTGATGAAGGAGGGATGATGAAGGATAGATGGATAGATGGATGAAGGATGGATGCAGGATGGATGGATGGAAGGATGATGCAAGGATGGATTGATGAAGGATGGTTTGAATGATGGATAGAAGGATGGATGGAAGGATGGATGGATGGAAGTATGGATAAATAGAAGGATGGATGGATGAATGGAAGGATGGATGGATTAGGGATGGAAGGAAGGATGGATGGATTAGGGATGGAAGGAAGGATGGAGGAATGAATAGAAGGATGGATGTATGAACGATGGATGGAGTGATGAAGGATCGATGGATCGATTTAGTAGGGATGGATGGATGAAGGATTGATGCAAGGGTGGATGGATGAAGGATGGATGAAGGAGGAATGGATGATGGATAGATGGATGGAATGATGGATAGAAGGATGGATGGATTAGGGATGGAAGGAAGGATGGAGGAATGAATAGAAGGATGGATGTATGAACGATGGATGGAGTGATGAAGGATCGATGGATCGATTTAGTAGGGATGGATGGAAGAAGGATGGAAAGATGGATGGATGCATGAATAGAAGGATGGATGGATGGATAAATGGAAGGATGGATGAACGGAGGATGGGAAGGATGGGTAAGATGGGTGATGCAAGGATAGATTGATGAAGGATGGATGGAATGATGGATAGAAGGGTGGATGGAATGATGAATGAAGGGGGGATGGAAGGATGAATGGAATGTTGATTATTGAAGTTTGATGGGTGGATAGAAGGATGGATGCAAGGATGGATGGAAGAATGGATGAAGGATGGATGGGTGGATGAAAGAATAGACGGATGGATGAAGGATGGATGGATGAAGGGTAGATGGAAGGATGAATGGAAGGATTGATGATTGAGGTTTGACGGGTGGATAGAAGGATGGATGGATGAATGGAATTATGGATGAAAGGAGGGATGGATGAATGAAGGAGTGATGGATAGAAGGATGATTGGAAGGATGGATGGAAAAATTGATTCAAGGATAGATGGATGAAGGATTAGGGATGGAGGAAGGATGGATGAATAGATGAATGGATTGATTGATTGAGGAAGGATGGATGAATAGAAGGAT